AGCGTCGAAAGATAAATAGTCTGCATGTTGAGTTAAAATAAATTGTCCATAGAGAAATGGCGAAACTTGAAAGTGCTACGCGATTGTTGGCAATTACGAAATTAAAAGATCAATTTGGTAAATAAGACCAGCGCGCAGAGGAAATTTCTAGAACAAGATTCTAAAGTAAATATCGCACTTACCTAAGGTATACCCTCTCGAGCACCCTTGGGAACTTCTTTAGAAAAGGTCGAGAAAGGAGCGATATTAATATGGGCTTTCTACGTGACACATGCTCCAATTCTCTAAAAGTCCATTAGAGGAATCACGAAATGGTCCAGGGACGTTGGGGAAAATTATTGTTCGAACCGAAATGTAGATTAACCAAAAGTACGGCGACCGCGAAAACGTAGATTTTAGAAAATCCGACCAACTCCCGCAAACTAACGCAAATTAGTCGCTCGAGTAAAACATAAACGAAGAAAAGTTTTGTCGTTGCTTTACGGCGATATAAAAGAGCAAGAATAACGTACAATAATTAGAATTCGAGATAAATAGAATTTGCAGCACAAATTAAATAATAACAAGCAAGTTCTCTTGAAATAAAATTCCTCATCCTTGCAATTTTTGTGCGTTAAAAAGAGCACATTTTTATCCCGAGACACAAATCCTCCAATTTCGACCATCCGATCACGCTTGCCGCGGATCTCCGACCATAATCTTCAATTACCGCGCGTTATTTTCCAGGAAAAGGGAGTTTTCTCAATGAACGATTAAAGATCTCCATCCTGTATTTTGCCGTCGCGAGCGCGGAAGAACTCGTTGCCGAATCACTCCGGACTTCCGCGCACGTTTCACGATGATTCTTGAAATCCCACGATAGCCGGGTCAAGGGATAAGGGTGGGTGGTGCAGAGCGACCGGAGGGTTCATTCCCGAGAGACGTTCCATGTTCGGGCTGGAATCGCTTCCAGCCGGATAGGCCTGGAGAATGGACAGTGGGACCTAGGAGGCCTAATCGCGTTTGCACGGCCAATCCCCGATCCTTAAACCACGCGATGGAGCAGCGTCGCCTATTTCTCTCCCTTCTCTCGCACACACGCAGACACGTTCTCTCCCGATCTTGATGTTCGTCCGGCAAACGTGCGCAATCCCGCGCGTCATCCGTTTAATTTTTCACAACGCACCGCCGCGTTCCATTCTCGAAATTACGTCGGATGTGTCCCGCGAGGAAAGGAGAGGCTGATTCTACGTGATGCTCCGAAAGGGAGAAACGAATCGAAAATGAGACAGACGAAAGTGCCGTTCGATCAAACGTCTCGCGATTTATGTCACGTAAACAAGCGTGCTCGAATCATCTATCCGCGAATTTAACTCAACCTGTCTTTCTTTTTTCTTAGCTACGTTATTACACGTTTTTGTACAACAAAAATTAGATTTTGCGTTTATTTCTCTATAATCTTTATTCGTTGATTTTACTGTATAGTCAAAGACAATTTTTTGAAAATAAAAAGACTATAAAACAGAACGCGATATGAAGAGAAAAGAAGAAGATATTAAGAAGACTCGACTTTTCATAAATGAGATTATAGCAATATACTATATAACGTGAAAAGTTGGGCGCGGTGAGAGAGATTGCTGCGCAAGGAGAGCGTTATCAAGACGACAGATAGATCCCTGGAAAGAAGACTCGCTTTCCGCTCGGCCGAAATAACGGAGGTCGAAGTATCTAATCGAGATATCTCGATCCGCGCCGTACGCTCGAGCGATCTTCGACTTTCGTAGGACCGTGGGGCAAACGAGGAGCGAAATCCGTGGCGCGTAAATTTCCAACCCCCCGATCGACTGGCTGGAGAACGCGAGACGGAGATGGGTTCTTCGGGAAACTCTGTTCGAGGATGCATCTTCGAGCGTGAATTTCCTCGACTCTCGCGACATGCAAGGTATCGAGGGAGAAGGAGGGAAAAGAAAAGCGCCTGGAAACGCGCCGAATAAAAGCACCGAAGAGAGGCAACTCTCCCACTCCTTCAATCCCGCTCGTCGTTGAATCGACTACGAGAGATTGCGCTTGTCTTCCGGTGGACGAAACGAAAGGTATGGCGCGTTGAATATGCGCGCCGAATGGCGTCGGCTTGAATAGGAACACGGTTTACCATATCTCATGCATGTGACGAATGATAAAAATTGACTGCCGGGAAAGCCCGGGATTTTCCCGGCGAAAAAATGTCGACGGTCGCGAACGCAAGCTTAAAAGACACGAGACATTTTTCTTGTCTCGGAGAGAAATCGCGGTTTTGAAATAACCGTTGCAAGAATCATGCGGAGAGTCGTCGAAGAGTATCAAACGCTCGGCCATCGCCGCGGAATTCTCGGGAATTCAGGCTCAGACCGCCGGAATTCGTCTGACGCGGCAGTCGATCTTCGCGGCGAGTTACCAGGCGGATGCTGAAGAGCAGGATGCGCGTGGCGGTTTGGTTTCTCTCGGGACCTCCCGGCGTCGGTTATGCGGACGCGAGAACCCTTCGAGGAGGTGGAGGGCGAAAGACGGCGAATCTTCGGGGGCGGAAGAGCGGAAAGTCAAATTTGCTCATGATAATGCCGCGAATTTCTCACGGAGAAGCGGAAACTGTTTGCGTCCCGTCGACGACGTTCGCGCTCGAAATCTCACGAGAAAGGGCCGTAGAAACTATGAGGACCGCCGAGAAGGAAGAGATTTATCCCGCCTCGACATTATTATGCCACACGATAATAGACGGATATCCAGCGTGGATAATTAATACTTATATAATAGCTGTTGGATAAATCATTATTGCAAACTATCTGAAATTTCGAGGGTGAGGCAGGAAATCTGACGAGGAGAAAGAAAAATCGATGACGAGATAATTCTAGCCCTGTCTTCTATATCAAGTTCTGTAATATCAGGTTCAATATTGTCGATATTGATAGACTGAAATAACCGTGCCCGATGAAAGTGATGCTTGGGAGTTTCGACGAGCAAGGCGAAGAGTTGCGATTCAAGTTGAATGAGAATCGGAAACTTCGCTTCTCCATCGCCGTCAGATTAGTGCCGCTCTAACGGACTTCGCTTTAGTCTAAAGAAAAGATCGCTACGGACTTTCGAGGCATGGGTAAACACGAAGCTTCGACGGTACTCCGAAGACGATTATCGAATGCAGAACAATGACCCGTCGTCTTCGAGTTGCTCCTTTCCCGACTGAGCTGAAACTGCGCGTCGACGAAGAGCGAGCGAACGCTTTATTCTACTCAAACGACGCCCGGATCTACCAGTTGCCACTCTTAACAGTTCTCCGATTTCAAATTTAACGTCGTTCAAGTGATTAGAAGTTGGCAAGTATGTAATTCCGACACGCGACAAGTCGTAGTTTTCCACGGAAGAAAGTGTTTGCGATGATACGCGATTAATTGACTTGAATTAATAATTATACCATTTCTTTTCGAGTGTACTAGTCTGTAGAATTACAGCGTACGTTTCTATAAAAATAATCGCGCGCGGAAATAATACCTTAAGGACCTATTATCATTTCAAAGCAGTTGGCTGTTCCAATAATTGACAGTTAATTCGACCCGCGAGAAAAATAGATCGCGCCAGAGACACTTAAGACGCGTTCACGATTAGTTATTAAAATGCCCCTTATAAGAGGGAGAGAAAAGATCGAGGAGATTCATCGAGGTTCTCTCGTGATCGTTTCCCTCCTGTTTCTTGCAGCGCGATATCGCTCTTTTGGGAAGACTTTGAATCGGTAAAACGCTTCTTGCGTGTCGTCCGAGTGCAGTTTAACTTGGCGCGGGATAGCCTGCAATATAAATATCGAAAATGGTGGAGCGTCCAGAGAATCGTGATAAACGACCCGAAAATTCTCCGATTCTCCCTCTTTCTCTCTTTGCGAGGCCTCCTTCGCTCTACCAAAGCGTGAAGCTACACGATCGACCGTGACAGAAAAGTTTGTGTGAGCGTTCTGGTGTGCAACGGCCCACACACACACACACACGTACAAAGACGAGCACGTGGTTACGAAAATTCGATGCCCACGGGATTGGCTAAGTTAAAGGTACCGGGAGTACCATAAATCCGTTTAAATTGCAACGACGACCCTCGCGCGATCCGGAGATCGTGAGCAATTATCTGTCAGCTTGCCTCCTCTCTCTTTCTCTCTTTCTCTCTCTCTCTTGCGGTCCACCGATTCTCCACATAACTCGCCTGCGTCTTGGCATCTTTCCACAAGTCGTACAAAATCGAGAAAAAAACCATTAAAGGCGATAAGCATCGAAAGAGGAATCTAATTTCGAAAAACTTTTACTTCCTAGTTGCAATATCGCGATTAATAAAGCAATATCTATTATATAAAATTATATAAAAATTTCTCAAGTCGATGCAGTGCGCAAAAACACTCGATAACTATATTATTCGACGTTAAATATTGCAACGAAAATATAAATAAAAGGTCTCGCAAAGAGACAAGATAACAGTTATCGCCGGTTGTCAAAGGCCTCGTAACCTATTCCTTTCCGCGTCGTACTTTTACGATCGCGGAAACACTACTTATTCGGCTACAGTGCTCGTGAGCCCGGCGCGCGTGTGAAAGAACAATAAAATAAATGTAACGCAGCAATAAGATGGTCACGTAGTCGGAACGGGAGCACGTAACGGGGCGACATTTGTTTCGTCGCGCGAGAAATGGAAGCGCGCGATAAAATTTGCATAGCTCGATAACGTTTCTCGAGAGTCTCGAATCGACTCGAGGACTTTTCAACCGCGGATCGTATATAATTGGCCCGCAAATCAATCGAGAGCGGTTGAAAATTTTCAACGACTTTCTCTCTCCACGTATTATATATACCATAACTCATAATTGTGTGCGTAATAAATCGAGTTGATATATATATGTATATATAGAACACAAGTGCGTGACTCTTGTATGTGCGAATAAATTTATATAATATCCTAATATTTCAAGATTGCATATATAAGTGTGTATTATATATGAGGTGAGTCAAACTTACCACCGGAAATGGTGCTGTGGGGAACGGACGAAAATTCGAAAGGTCGGGAATTCTTACCTGCAACAGAAAGATAAGGAGTTAACGCGATATAATAATACTTTAAACGTACTTAACACACTTTAGCGTCGAAATCGGTATTTCGGGATCGGATTGATTCGCTCCTGAAAATTGTTACAAAATCGATAAATTATATTATCATCTCGATAATTGTAACAGAGATGCGACTCTCTGAAAGAGAGCCGAGTGAATAAAACCGTGATGAAAAATAAAAGGGATATAATTCGCCGCGCGCGCGCGCGTCGACTTAAGCTCTGACCATCACGGTCCGTTGCAGGTCGACAGGAAGTGCAACCCGATTCTTCGTTCCTCCATCTCCTTTTATATTCCCCTTCCGGTCGGTTCCGCGACCGCGAATAATTCGCAAGAAATGCATCGCGATGATAATCACGAGTCTGACTCTTCGAATCATAAAACATTCTCCTCGCCGTCGTAAATTTACAGTAAATTTACGGACATTATTATCGGCGTATAATTTTCACAATCTCGCTTTCGCGGGCACGTGCGTGCGATTGCACGCGATTGCGCAATTAATGCGTGTTGCTCGCATCACGCAAGAAAACTGCAGAAATAGGTCGCTTAATTGAAAACGAGGAAAGGTAACGAGAGAAGAACCGAAGGTAAGCAGGAAGGAAGGAAGGAAGGAAGGAACGAAGGCAAGAGCGAGCAAAAGAAGAACGAGGAGGCGGCACCTCCAGCCACCAGCTGCAACCTGTTGAATTCGGAGATACGGAGAGACAGGGAATCACAGGCACCGTCCATTCGGTAACTTTGGATTACTATGAAATTGTTTTATTACTCCGCACTCGCCATTTTCATGCCTGCTCGTCCGAATCTCATCCGAGATCTAATTACCGAAGCTTCGTTTCGAGCCAAAAAGATCGCTAAATTGGCGTGAAAATTGACGGTCGATTAGCATTACGACATAGTTTGCAATAATCGTTCTCAGAATACGCGTGAAAGAGGTAAAAAGTGGAATAGAGATGTATAAAAATGTGAAAATAAATTCGATTAGTATTTTACATTGTTTATTGCGATGCATAGGTACAATGAAAAAGAGAAATAAACACTTTTGAATCGATTATTTATTCAAAACTTGAATCGCGAGAACTTTTATATATTTTGTATTTTATATTCAAACAAATTTTTCCAAATGTTTTGCAAAAATTGCAGAAAGAGAGAAAGAGAGATGACCCAGATCTTCTCGTATATGCATACACATATATGACGTGAGTTTTTATAATGAATGTACATACATCGCGATTCATCGGAATTTATCACAACGTGTCAGTTGGAGTTTCAGTGAACTGAAACTCCAAAAGTGAGGCCGCGATGTATTCCTGTCACATAAATCAATCGTTTGATCGCACCGATAATTCACAAACATCGGGCGATTTTTATTTTCAAAAGCGCGGACGCATATTTTTTGCATATCCTTTCGAGAGAATCGTGAAATTCTCTCTTTCTCTATCTCTCATACTAGTAGAAAAAGTACGGAATAATCGCTCGTCGAGAGAGAGAATGTGTTTGAATGCCAAGAGTGACCAAGCAAGGACAAGGGCAGCCAGTTTCTTTTACTACGCGTTTCTCCATCGTACTTCTTACATCGGAGAAGCGAATAGCTCGACTATATAGTCGGTCGTTCTTTTTCTCTTTCTCTCTGTCTATGTCCCGAGGACGCATTCTTCTCTCACCGAGACGGAGAAAACTGCCGTCTCGATTAAATGCGCTACCTCGAACTATCTCATATTACCAAGGAGATCTCTCCATCCGGGGGCATTAATTGCATGCTGCTAAAATAATATATCCTTCTGGCTTTCATTGTCTACATCGCGCGATATTCTCGTATATAGCTGAAAAAGATTTTTAATTAAAATCTTTTATATACACTCGAGAAATAGTCGTTGAAATAAATACGCACGTTCACCCACCGAATCAAAATTCGTTTTGGCCAATTAATCTGAAAGCTTTTCGCGAGGAGCTGCATCCGTCGATCGAGAAGACGGAAGGAGGAAGCTCTACGAGAAGTCTACGGGAATATTGGGTTGAATAAAAAGGTTGGGAAAGGAAAGAGGACTCTCGAGAGACGAGAGGAAGTGAGAAAGAGAGAGGAGAGTGCAACGACCAACTTGCACGTGGCCGCGAAGTGCATAAAGTCGGGAAGAACGTCACGTTGCGGCGAGGCGAGACGAGTCGAGCCACTCTTGTGCATTCCGCGGCTTCAAGGTTGAGGTCAAGATACACCTAAGTGTCCATCGTCTGAAGTTCCGAATTCTACGAAGGCGCGGAACTTTGGCGCGCACGTGACCGTGCATTCTCTCGCGATTAAACGGATCTATTTGCGTTCAAGTTTTATCTCCGAGAAATCTTCGGCAGAACTTTGAAAATTAATGATCGGAAAAATATATTGTAAAAGATCTAAATTTTATTTAACACTGATTCTTATCTCTGCCATTAATCGTGGCATATTTATTCGGCGAGTAAAACTTTAATTGATGTTCCGAGAACGTTCGTTTAGAACCGCGACAGGTAAGACTGATAAGACGTATCTAAACAAGATTGACATAACGTACGTTATGCACGATATATAGCCCGCCCAAACATCGTCGTCGTCGTCGTCGGTCGACGCTCTTGTTTCGACCCTCGACGTCCGCTTCCGGCCGGATGCGATAGAGATCTGTTGTACAGCCGTTTCACGGTGGTTGCTTTCGATGTGAGTCCTTTTTTTTTTTTTTTTTTTTTTTTTTTTTTTTTTTACGACACGAAAGATATATCCGCGTGGCGGTCACGCGCGCGTAAAACGCGAGGAAAGCGGATTGGGAAGTTAAGAGGTGGACCGGTCGTCACGTATAAGACGTGCACGCGTAAGAATTACGGGCTACGTAATTGTAATTCCTCGACGAAGACTGCGAGACTGCGGTTGCACGTGCGGTGAGTTGCAGGAATCGATGGCTCGGAGAAGTAGAAACTACCGCAAGTCATACGGCGCTTTTGCACGTGTGTTTTATCTGTCAATTTTTCCGCGACGCTCGCTTCGCGCCCAGAGATGTTATCCGAAGAGAGAATTCCTCGAATTGTCATTTCGATGCAAATGCAATAACGCGATCGAATACTTCGATAACATAATTATTAAATTTGATTAATATTAGATATTGCGTGGCAGACGTTGAAGCACGTATGCATATCTTGCGTAATTGTTGGAAAAATCTCGAAAACAAGAGTACTGTAAGGTACAAGAAACTGCGGAAAGAGTAAAGTTTGTATAAAAAGAGAATGCTAAGATGATAATTTGCATTCGTATCTTTAAGCCCTTCGCTTCGTTGGCGCGTTGAAGATTTTTCGCGAACACCGAAAATAATTTCACGGGATAAGTAGAAGATTTACAGAATATTCTTCTTCTTTTTCTTTTTCTTCCGGCGGATTTAAACTGCTCGAATTATTGTCAAAGTTCTCAATAAAAAAAAATACGAGAGATGTTTAAACAGGATATTTGGACATTCGATTCCACCTTTTGTTGAAAAAAGACATCGAAGAGAATAAAAGTTTCGGGAAAAGACGAGGAATATATATTACATGCATATGTAAATACAGATTTAAACGAAAAAAAGTTCGAATATCGGCTAAAAAAATATATCTAACTTAAAGCTGCGAGTTTCGAGATATTCGTCCAATTGAATTTCTTCTCTTAAATTTTTCGCATACAAGATTCCTCTTACGATAAGATATATTTATAAAAAAATACAGTTATTAGTTATTAGCGTGCGATAAATTTAGATTAAAATATAAGTTAGTCTTGTGCGTGTTAAGGAAGAAATTTTCTTACTCTCTAAGCGCGCTAAGGAACTCAACGGTGGTTGGAAAGTAGCCATAAAATCATCAACTAATTTTTATCAACGACGTAACTTCGCTTTTTTTCTTTCTAAAAGTTCTCTGTAGTAGAGTAAAAAGTAAAAAGAAAGTATCGTCGTAACGTTTCGGAAGAATATATTTCTTTAAAACAAGCTGAAAAAAAACTAATAATATTCTTAAATAAAAATTTAAGATCAAAATTTTTATTGTTACGCATATTTAATTTCCAATTACTTTGTTAAAACGTCGTGAGGCAGAGAACACTTATCTCTTACAAAGGCAAAAGTTAACCTGTTACCGATTTATTCTTCCTCGATTTCATCTTCTTTTAAGAATATGGTTCCTTATTATTTATTCTTGTAGAATCACTTGTAAAAATTTTGAAGAATCGTAGAGTAAACTTATTCCGCTTCTTTCCAGATTATAGTCTCGCTCAGATAAGCTGAGTCGAGAGAAAATACAGTAGAGTTTGTACAGGCGAAATAAAGAAAATAAATAAAGTTAGATTTTTTTGAAAGTGCGATGCTTTTAATTCGAGCGACTCTTCATATACATATATAATCTCATTTCTCTCTTGCATCTTTATATATATTTCAAAAACTATCTTAATATTTATATTTTAATTTTAATATTTTACGATACATAAAAAACAGAGAAATATATGGAAAAGTATGTGAACAGATTCTCATTTACGTCCTTCCTCGCCGTGCATTACGCACCGAGAGTATTCCGAGGATGCAGTAAAAGGTTATAGGTGAAGAAATCTGCCCGTAAGATAATAAAAAGTATACGAGCGTAGCAATGTAGAGAAATAATTCTAAATCAAAAGGGTCGCTCGCGTGTCAAAGTAGCAATTCGATCTCCTATGTCCCTTTATATATATATATATATATATATATATATATGTATGTGTGCATGGCATACATCCTCTTAGTCTTTCGGAATTGTGACTCCCGGGTACTCTCTCGCTGAGAGTGCACTCCGAACTAAGGATAGCATAAGTAATCTTTTTCTGATTTTCCGAGGAAACGACGTCGGTTGTGGAAATCGCGAGAAAGAAACGGGCGACAGAGCGGAATATCCCTCTCCTTCACTCGCGCAATATATGCCATAAAAGACTTACGGCTCCCATCTCCCGAATTTTACTTTCA